ACCCTGCTCGGGGAGCTCATTCCTTAGACACCAAGGGTGCCCTGACGGCTCTGTGCAGTGCTGGCTGTGGCATGGGGGTCCCAAAAAAGCTTTTAAATAGCTCCTTGTCTCAACCCGGAACCTAATTTAGAAATTAAAAGTCAAGCCTCTACTTTGTGTTGTATTTTATTCCTTTACTGAAAACATTATTTGAAGAGTAACATGAGAAATTGGAGTGAAATGAGAACGGCACTGACGGAGGGGACTGGTCCATACGTTCACGTTTATCCAGGTTATAAACTGTCTTTTTAGGATGCTGAAATCCATGTTGAAATTAGGTCATTTTAAAAGAATTTATTAAAAGGCATTGTAAATGCAGGGCCTTGGAGAAATTAAATTTGCCTGAGAGATTTAGGATGGATTTGCTTAATCCTGGTAATGGCCTTTGTGATCCCATGCTGGCACATGCCATTCTGGCCCTCTGTCTCCTGCTTACACCTTTGTTTCCAGCCTAGGGAATATAACTGGAATTCTTCCCTGGGTTGGGGCTCAAGGAACTTTGGAAGGAAGTCTCTACTCCCTGGATTTGACAGACCCAGAACCCAAGAAAGACGAGAGCAATGAAATGATCTGCCCCCAGGGTTGCAATGAGCGCAGCTTCTTTGTTTTCACAAATTGGTAAACACCAGAAGGTTTCAGAGGTAGACTCTGGTCCTGAAATTAGAATCCTACACGTAAGTCTTGGCTACGTAGCTGCTTGCCAGTAGCTACCATGCAAGCCCAGCCTGGTAGTACCTGAAGTTGGCTTTTGTACTCTGGTCTAATTTTTGTCTTCAAGCTATTCAAGGACATGTTTCCCCTTGGTGGGCTGGAAATGGACACGTTGGGGACGAGCAGGTCAGTTAGGGCTCCAGTCTCTCTGACCTGACTTTCTTGCCCTACTCTCAATGCTCAGCACTTTCAACTCCCCATCTTGAATTTCCATCATGTTTGTTTCATTTTTTATGGGGATGAAGAATTATTGCACAACTGAAATCCTGAGCTCCAGTTATGAAAATTGCCACGGGGACGATCCACAGGAGAACCTAACGCTCCATTCTTTCTGTGAGAACATACGGCACCACGTCACACTTGGGTCTCATGTCAGCCTTGGATTTCAGGGGGCAGAGGCAGATGAAGCAGTGAGCCATCCCTCCCCAGAGGTGGGGCCACAGCAGTGCGGAGGGCAGTCTGCCTCCCTGCCAGGGCCAACATACATAGGCAGTGTGGCCTCATGCTGAAACTGGGGACAGACACAAACAGCCCCTACCACGAGCAGAACCATGGGCCTTCCCCCAGCCTGTTTCTCTGCCCTTTCTTTATCTCCAATTATAAAGCAGTGCCAGGTTTTCTTGTCAGCCACTGCCATGTCTCCAAATGGCTTTTCAGTGTCAGGCCCATCAGGAAATTAACTCATCATGCAGTGACAGCTGCTAATTTTTTCCCCTTACATGTCAGATGGATCGCCCGCTGAAGCTAATAATGAATCACCAATCCCTGATTAGAAGGTGCTTCCGAAACATATAACTGCCACCAGAGCTAACTTTTTTCTTCATGTAAAATGATATCACCCTAGAGGAGGAGAAAACGAATTGTATTCTCCAACCGATGGAACAGGAGGAGGTTGCTTAAGTTGAGCTGTGTGCACTGTTAAATTATGGGCTAATATTAAATAGTAAAGAAAGTGACAACTTACAGCTCTTTTTTCAGTTTGCTAAATGAATGACCTTTCTTGTTTCCTAATTCTCTTTCTAGAACCAACTTTAGGTTAGAATTCTAAGCTGGCTCTTCAATTCTCTGCTTAAAGCATGACTTCATTTTTATGCTCAAGAAAAAAAAAGTGTGAGAGAAATGGGAAATACAGATGCTGTTGATGCTGTTGTGCAGGCCTAGAATCTCCTGGATGCTGTGCTTATTGAGAGCAGGACCCTTGATCCTCATACCAGGAATGGTGGACTAGGAGCTGCTTGGGCCTCAGTGGAGTCTTGGCTGTGTTCTAGGAGGTGATGGAGCAAAAATTCACTGAGGCTCCTTCACGTCCACCTTCTAGGACTCTGCAAAATTTCTTTGATTGACTATACTTTAGTCTGTACCATCTCTCAGGTCCATTTGGGTACTTCTTTATAAATCTTCTTTAGCAAAGTCAGCTTAGCTAAAACCTTACCCTCGACGTCTGATCACTCTGGAAATATAATTAGGCTCCACATTTTTCATCATCTTCTAGGTGGTGTTTGACCACCTTGGACTGCCTTCAGCAGGAATTCTGCTAGGTTGGCTTGGTCAGAAACACTCCTGATGTTTCTTCTGAGTGTTCCCATCTTCCACCTAACAGTGCCCACCCTAACTTCCTGCTTGGGTATAATGCCCCCTGTGTTCTGTCTTCAGAATTGAGCCTGATTCTATTCCGAGGCCTCTTCTCTCCGACTGAAATTGTCCTGAATAACATTTCTTTTTATTATTGTAAGTACTTTACAGGTCCGGTTTTTCTTTGACATTTTGTGAATCCACATTTCTGGACTAAGCTGATAAATGACCGAGTTCTAGTGACTCCTTGACACAATCAGCACATTTACGCAGTTCTTCAAAGCAAATCAAGTACCAAAAGAAATGTTCTTGGCACTGGGTGGTGGTTCGTTTGCTTTGTGGTGGGAAAAGTTAGAAAGCACCCTTACTCCCTCTACTGTAACTCCTCAGGGGGGCTGAGGCTTCCCAGAAAGATGCCTGTTTATGAGTCACAGCACTGCACGAAAGAGACCTTACCTTGTTAATAGTATTTGCTTCATCCAGAAATGGCTACCTCATTTTGCAAGTCCACCCCAAATAGCAAGAATTGCTCAACTTTTAACCATGGAAGTTGAAATGCAAACCATTTCTGTATGCAGACTCAGAAAATCTGTCTTCCTTGAATGCCAGATGTCCTTGGGGCTTGACCATTTAATTGGCCATAGCTTAATATAAAACGTGGTCTTTGTGGATTATGGTCTCCATGTAAATATTTCATTGGCTTTGCTTTTTACTCCTATAAAGTTTGGTTTTATTCTCTAGAAAAAACTTCAAGGAAAGCTGTAAGCTTCCTGCATTGTCTTTATAGACAATCCATGCTGTAACGAATGTCCCTTGCTCGCAAACTCTACCATGCCTCATTATTGTGAAGCACACATTTGTGTATGTGCTTCTTAAACTCCCTTATATTCCAGTAGTTGTGTAATGAGAGAGAAAAGAGAGGTAACATTAACCTAGCTCTATAGGTAATTACAGGATACAATAGCTTGGTGCAGCCTTCACAATCCTTCGGTGCCTAGAAACACCTTCTATACAGTATTTTTTTATGCAAAGGCCTGCTCTTTTCATTGTGCATACAACGTGATTGCTGGTTTGACACTGCAGGCTACACTGGTTTTATGAAGGATTAAATGCCACCTGAGACATATTTATCCTAAATAAATCACAAACGGTAAACTGCAGCATGTCAGTGTCAACACCCTGGCCTGCAGCGGAAAGGTTAGCCATACAGGACTAAGCACAGTTAGGAATTAGCATCGAAGCCGCCGGGCTGCTGCTAACGGGAGAAATGATCAAGAAATATTTCCACTGAAAAGCACTCCCCCTCCTTTTTTTTTTAACATGTATGAGAAGCCTGGAGAGGGCCATCACTTTGTAAAGGTCACCTCTATCCTGATAACAAACGAGAGTTGATCCTGTCATTGTTTGCAGAAGACTGTTTAAGAAGGGCTGAATAGCCCTGCCATTTTTAGGAAACATGAGATAATCACACTCAGCTAATTATGAATCTTGGTGTCAAATCTGAAGTTTTCCTTCCTATAATTTTGGACGGGTGGCTGTGGATAGGGATTGGGATGAACTCAAAGCACAGAGAGGAAACCAGGAACAGAGCAAAAGGCCAGTTCTCTTCCCCTGTTGTCTCAGGGAGGGAATCCCCTTGCTCCCATGCTAGGAATTAAACCCATGACCACAGGCATGGTAGGCAAGCACTTAACCACTGAGCTGCACCCCTAGACCCCAGGAAGAGATATTAAAGGGTACTTTACTGACACAAAGACAGGACCAGCTTCTTTTCCTCTCATGTCTGCTCTCCACATTTTCTAGGTTCTAACCAAGATAAGAGTATGTTATTGTTGCCAAAATGTGCCTGGGCCATTTGCTAAGCATTCATAAAACAGTATCAGGCTGCGGGAGACACCATCTGAAAGACAGTAGAGGAGAGAGGGTGCAACCACCCAGGCAGGTATGGGTCTTGTGAGTTCTCGCTGATGCACAATGGCTAGCTGGCCACTCAGAAAAACAAGTCATTATGTTTTAATGCTTTAATTTTATTTCAAAGAAAACAAACAGAACAAAAACAACTTTTGCCTTTGAGGGAGGAGATTATTTTACAATTTGGGAAAAAAATAAGACCAATAGTATCAAGAAACAAATTACTGAAACATAAACTTGCATTCAACTGTTGAGTGAATCCATAACTAAACAGACAATGCTGGTCAGAGCGAGGGCCACAGGATTGCAGTTTCTATTTGTTAATGATCAATGTCAGCTTTTGCATACTGATATAATTACAAATAAATCTGCAAAATGATATCAATATGAACATTTATTATAAAAAGCAAAATATTGATATAGACAATATTTTCCAGAGTGTACATTTCAAATATAGATTTAGGATATGAAACTAAGTCAAAATTAGAAGCATCAGTTGTCTTAATTAAGGGATAATTTAACTGAATATAAACTTCAAGGCTTACTCAAGGAGTAAGATTTCTTTTATGTAGTATGAGACCAGAGCAAAGGGGACACCTAAAATGTTTGAAAAGAGGAAATTTATATATGAAACAAATTAACAGGCTTCCTTTGGTCTGGTGATGCCTTTATCCTAAAATTTAAAAAAAAAAAAAAAAAAAAAAACACAGGATTTTCTTTTTAATTATACCTGATTTAGAAGACTAACCACACCAAAGAACAAAAAAAAAAAAAAAAAAAAAAAAGAATGGGATGGCCTGCTTCAGGATGCAATCACAGCAGCTGCAATCTATGACTAAACGCATAAGGAAACGATGACAGAGCTGCATGCCAGGCAGCTGGAGCTAAGAGGCTGAGGCTTTAGGAGACATTTCTTACCTATTTCCCACCATGGGGACCATCTTTTGATGACTGAAATGGGACAACATTTGTAGGATAAAGCCAGGGAGAATTGTTTCTCCTCAGTGCAGTGGTGGAACAGGTGGAAAGCCATGAGCAAAGGACCAAACAGTGACAGGCTCCATGGCACAGGGCTGGCCTGCCTGCCTCGGCCTTCTCAGAGGGCCCTGACTCTTTCTTGGCCAGCCTTGCTCTGGGCTTTCCATGTGTGTCTTTTTGGTGGCTGACGTTACCCCCACCAGAAGGGCATGTGCAGCACTGTCTGAAGTTATGTCGTCATCACTGTTTGAAAGGTTTACAAAGCTCAGGGAACACTGTGCCAGCTTGAGAGGGATCTTTGCACACCTGCCTTATGCCCAGCGTTGAGGCTGTAATTCATGCTTCTAGGAGCTCACTACTTTCTCTTTGGCTCTGAATCACTGTCGCTGCCGGGGTGCCTTCCTGGGTATAAATGACCATGCTTGTCAACTGTTCGGTGCCATTTGGGACCATAGCCTCAGAGGTGAGTGCAGCCCCAGCCTGAAGGATCTCCTGAGAGTTGGTGGTCTCTATCACAGTGTGAGAGTACACACCCGCCTCATCCTGTACCCCTGGGGGCAATTCTGTCACAATGTAGTGAGTTGCACCCTCTGGAAAGTTGCTGCCAGACTCCCGGACCATGGCTTGGACCAGTTCCTCCGTCACAATGATCTGCGAGATTTCCCCCTCAGATTCTACCAGGTCCACGTGCTCAGCTGGCACCCGCAGGCTGTGGGCCTCAGCTTCCTGCATGATGAACTGGGAGGCCTCCCCAGCTACCATGTGGACAGTGCCTTCCTCGTTCAAGATGACTTGGGTAACGCCATCCTTGATGAGTTGGCCAGTTGTGGCAGTGTCACACACAGCAAACTGGAGGACTCCTTGGACCATCTTCTTGAAGGCCACCTGAGCCCGCTCCTGAGATGCGATGATGGCTGAGGGCCGGACAACCTGGGTCAGCACCTCCACAGCGGCTGGACTCTCCTGAGCATCTTGGAACATCTGGGTCTCTGGGGCTTCAGGGTCGGGAGTTGCGTGCAGTGCTTCCTGACTGGGCAGTTGGATCAGCACATCCTTGTGGTCAGGCCTGTCCTTTTCCTCATGCCCAGCCCTACCTTCTGCCTCCCCCAACTCAGTGACAGCACATAGCAATGCATCTAAGGCTGAAGAGGCATCAGGTGGAGGAACTCCACCCTCTGAGAGACTTAAAACCTCCTGTTTGGTCACCTGCTGTATCACAGAGCCACCTGGATCAAGGGACTCATCCATACTATGACCTTCCACTGAGCCCCCAACGACAACCATCTGGGTGGCCCCCTCTGTCAGCTGCTCAGGGAGAACAGGTCCGGGCACTACGCTGCCCATGTGTGCCCCATTCTGACTTGTGGTGATGACCTGCCCATCTTCTGTGATGTGCACCACCCTCGCCACCTGGCCAGCCACTGCCAGTGTCTGCAGTGTGGCTGCAGCTGTTTCCTCCATGGAGGCATCAAGGGCAAACTCCCCGTCATACCCCTGGATGATGATGACCTGCTGGACTTGCTCAGGGGGCTCAGCCTGCCTCCTGCTATTCCTAAGAGACTTCTCTTTGACTGGAGACTCCTCTGCAAGTGCGGCAGCAGTGAAAGGGCTGTCTGTTTCCACAAAGGTGGCTCCTTGTCCCTTCAGACGGCACTCATAGGACTTGGACACAATGCCTATGGGAGACAGTGACCAGTTAGAGACTAGAAAAAGACTTTCAGGCTTAAAAGTAAGATAGTTCTGCAGATACCTCACTAGAAACACTGTGACTCACTATGTAAAAGCATTATGAGCTCTGAAGACCAGAAGCATCATGGGGCTACACATTCATGTGGGCACTTACAGGTGTGTTAAAGGTTTGAGAGTGCAAATAGTTGTATGTTTGAGATGCATTTTTCCAGACTCTTGGGTTAACTGTCCAAACAGAACACTTAGAAAGATTGTTTGCCTTTCTGGTTCCTGGGGAAGAGGGTGGTCAGCTCCCTCAGTCATCATCATCTCTAACAATACACACAGTGAGTACAGCTCAGCAAACAGCCAGCAGCAGGATTCTCTAACTCAAAGGAAAATCTTTTCTTAATGTCTGAAGATTACATATAGTATATTTGTTTAGTCAACAAAAAGAATGAAAGCTTTGCGGATTGAATTTTAAAAACCTGTTGTCAATAAACACAGTTATAAGAGTTTAATGTTGCAAATATTTATTCAGTGTCTACTATGTGTCAGGCACTGAACGTAGGTGAAGACAGGCCTGGTGTGACCACAGCAAGTCCCTGTGGGCTGGGCACACAGATATATATATCCAGCTTGTCCCCGTCCATGCTCAGTCCTGGGTGCCTGGTGTGGAGCACATGCACAGCAAGGTCATGTCGGCTCAGTGGTTAGGATACTAGGGAAGGTGACGAGGGTAATCACAGAGAGGCCACACACTCAGGCTGTGGAACAGTGTATTCAGCAAAAGATCAAAGAAAGAACATTTAATCCTGAATGGCTTGAGTCATGCACAGAGGGCTGGGAGGAGGGAGCCCCCCTCCCTAGAGGGATACAGGCAAGGAGGTCTGTGGCCCTGAGTATCCTCTGCAGTGGCCGGTGACCATCTAAAAGTTTAGGCTTTTAGGAGATTAAATAATTACCTCAGGCCAGGCTGCTCAAGGCTTCACACACCCTGTACTAAGGCATCTGGCCACGGGCTGTGAAGAAACCTGTGGAATGTTTCTAAACATAAAAACTGTGCAACTGTAACAGAGGAAAGGTGCAAAATTTATGATCTTCCATGTCAGCCCCAAATTCCCTTTAGTGAAAACACTTACTCTTTAGAAAATGCCACAATAAAACTCTTGGGACATGGGCAGAAGGAATTAGGGGAGATGGTTAAGTAGCTCTGTGAATCAAGAAGAGGAAGGGCAAGAGGTGCAAGGTCAGAAGGGAAGAGGGGAGCAGGGAGTCCCATGGCCTGGGGCCAGCTAGGCAAAGAAGGGCCGTGCAGGCCCCTACCTGGCTGGCCACCAGTCATACCGATTTATGATTCATAAGTTGGACACCATAAGTTGGGGGGAAATGCCTCCCCTCAGGAAGGTGGGGGGTCCCAAAAGGCCAGGCTGCCACAGGAATGAAAGCTCCAAGCCTTCCAGGTCTGGGCTGGGACTTGAGTTGCACTACACTAGGGGAAGAAACCCTGACAGCAGCACAGGACTGAGGGGAGGCCAGCGGTGGGGGCACACTTGCACACCCACCAACATTATCTGAACGTTATCTGGACTGCTCTGTAACCTGACAGGGAAAGACATGACTGGGAACTGAAAAATTAATTTTTCATAAAAAAGAGACTGAGCCTTAAATCAGAGCTCCTGTTTTTTTCTTTTAATCCTACCTTTTCTACCAAGTTTTCTTTTTATCGTTTCCTTCCCTCCCAAATAAGAATGATCTGGGGACTGGGGATTTAGCTCAGTGGTTCTGGTGCCTGCCTTGCAAGCACAAGGTCCTGAGTTTGATCCCCAGTACCAAAAAAAAAAAAGAAGAATGATTTGTAAACAATCTGTATTCAAAATTCTATATATCAACAGCAACTGAATTTTTGGGACATTCCAACTTTCTTCAATATGGATCAGTTTTTTTAACAGTGCATTTTTATCTTTACCAAAGGAAAGAAAAAAATTAAGAATTGTTAAAGAGTATGTATTATTGGCATCCCTTAAAGACAACCATTTTGCTTACCGCAATAGTGTTGTTCTGCAAAAAAGCATTTCTTTCCCCAGCCACTGAGGCCTGTCTTCCAACATCTCAGCTGGGATGGCAGAATCTGCTAATCATATTGACCAAGAGGACACATCCAGGCTTATGCCCAAACTGTAGGACAGTGGTCCTGGATTCAAAGGTATTAACTGTTATATATTAACATTTATTCTTTTCTGGAGAATTCCCCATAGTATGAATAATAGAAAAGCTACAGAATCATGGAAGTTTAGGTCAAAAAAAGAGTGAGGGGCCAACTAGACTAGAACCAGTCCCCAAATCCCCTTCCTTTCATGCTCATTTAGCAAGCACAAACTCCACAAGCAACAGGTGTCTGTCTGGGCAGCGAAGGTGAGTCTGTCACATCTTAATGCCAACCAACCTTCCTGAAGAAGGATCCAGAATGTCCGTGAGTCAATTAAAGGAATGCCTAGCTAGAGTGTCCCTTGTTTTTTCTCAGGTATGACCCTAGCAATGATGGAGATTAACTGGGTACCACTAAACCAGCCTCCCAGCAGGTTTGCTGAAGCAAGTGCTTATTGAAGAGGCACAGGGCAGTAGTCACAGGTGGGAAAATTGCAGTACTCACGCCCTTGGGTTTTACCTGGAGAGTTTGGAAGGCCTGTGAGTGAGCCTTCAAAAGGCTTTGCCTGGGAACCTGCCAGAAGTTCAGAGCTCCTTCCTTGCCTCACCTGCCCCTCCTCTCACTTTACATAGGAGAAACAGCCCTTCAGTGACCTTTCCTGGGCCTGTGTCTGGCCCCGTAGTTTGGAAGATATGTGTGACATCAAAGCATTTGGATCCTAGAAAGGCTTGAATTACTGCCTATATGTTTTTACCTGATCACGTTATCTGCTAAGCTTTAATCCTCCCTAAATTTTCTCTTCTCCAAAAGGTCAGAATGAGGGTTAGTCTATAAGCAAAAAGAAGGCCTGATATTAGTGAAATTCCATAGAGTTGCCACATTCCTACTCCATTTATGCCCAAGTTTGGGACAGGACTGGTGTGGTCAATCTCTGGTCAATCTGCTACTCACTAGGACCTCTAGCTTTTGTTTACTGTGCTTGATGAATTCTTTCTCTGGTATGTGTGCAATGTTTTCTCAGGCCTTACTTTTCTTCCTAGGATGCAATATCCACTTGTCTTCTTTAAACTCCGAACTTAAGTTTGTTTCTGTCCATTGTCTAATTTCATTCTTAATCTATTTCAGAAATTGGGCGGAGAGGGGGAAAAGGAAATAAGGACACAAAAAGAAGGTAGTCTTCAAATCATTAATCTCAGAAGAGGACATTGTCATTACATTAAAAATCAGGACAAATGATACAGTTGGGGAGGGGGAGAGCAAACATCCTATTCTTAGGCCATTTCCTAAAGAAATTACATGCTGAAGTCTAAGCAATTGTGTGCTTCATTTGGCAACTGGATGGAAAATCTCTTGAGTGCAGAATGATCCTTTGAATCTCTTGGAGCACTGATAATTATGCTATTCTGAACTACTTACTGAATTTATTTGAATCCAGAGGTGGGTTAAGCCACTTCCAGACCATTAAAGTAAACTACATGGGTAAATACTGCTGTCAGGAGGGGCTGTGATGAAGCTTAACACCACCAATGTCTTAACCTCTGGCAGCACTGGCCCAGCTAGCTAGTCCATCAGTTCATAAATGTGAGTGTAGGTCCATCTTTTGATTCAGCAATTTAATAACTTCGAGTGCTGTCAGTACTGCTTTGAAAAATAGCACCTATAAAATGTAACAGCCTCAATCAGATTGAAAAAGATTCACCCACTCACCCACTGAAGATTCTTCCATTTCAACCATAATGAATTAATGTGGAACTATGTAGAAGTTCAAATGTCATTTAAACGAATGTGAATCTCCACTGTAACTTTAAATTCCAACTGAGCTATGACCAAGAATTTACTGAGCACATCAACTTCAGTTTTGGGTCTCTTTCTAGTAAACATGAACTGTAAAGTCCACCAATGCAAATGGTGAAACAGATATGGCATCTGGAAAACAGAACTATTGTATAGGTTTTATCCTTAGTGGTTTAGTCACAGTTATAGCTCCAAAAGTGCACAGATCTTTAATAGACCATGGATGCCCAACATGATATTTGTGTTGTACTTTATGTTTTTAAAAGACATTGTCAGATTTCAATATGATAATAGCAGCTAATCAAAATAGTATGCTTAAATTCAGTCCTCTTTGGATCGGTTTCTAATGGAGCAATACGTTGTCTTGTACAGAAGGTGCAAATGAAGTTAAATGTAGCTTTGTGCCTGTTTATGAAATCCTGGCTTATTGCTCATTTGCTTTCATAGAACTCCCTTCTCATTGCTAAATGCACTGAATGTTTACAACTCAGTTGAAATAAAAAGGTTTGTTGAGGTGTTTGAGGATCTATTTTCAGGGAAATGATTTAGAATTAATTTGCTTTTCCAGAATGCCATGATGAAGCTGTGGCCCCTTCTGTTAGTGAACAGCCCAAAAGGTAGAAAACACAACTCTACCCTATAGGAGGGGTGGCAAGTTGTGGAGACTGGTGCTCCCCAAAATTGTGCTGTGCCCTGCTCCACCCTTCTCCGCTCCTGGGAAGCAGAGAGAGGGCTGAGCACCTGACTCTCTCCCTTTTGTGGTATGCTATTCTTTCCTTACTGTCATCATTTTTTCCCACAGAATAAATACCTTATGCTTTTGTTAAGCTTACATTTAATTAAAATGTACAGAATTTGTGCAGTAAACTCGAATGAAACAAATAAAACAAGGGCCCCCTCTCTTGAAGGCATACGTTGTGAATGAAAAATGTCATTACAGACTAAAAAATTTTGCAGTAAACAGGGCCTACAGAGAGAAGTTTCCCCTGTAATGACATCCATAAAATACACAAATGGCACTTTTAGTACCATCCTGAATATGGCATTTTCTGTGCTCTACACACA